GTACAGACTAAAGGCAGTGATCAGAAGTGCATTGGGAAAGGAGTGAGCACAACATTACAGAGTAGTGAATTTTAGAGGAGCTTAAAATGCAGAAGATAACAATTGGGGATGAAGTTTACTTGTCCCTATGATGTTGCCTGGTTACTGTGTTCTCTAGAAATTATCTTTCAACGCTTGCTGCATTTATCTGATGTTCTTCCATATCTTACTTGCCAAATTCTTGTTCTTTAGCATATTCTAAAGTTTTCATGTTATATTTCATTAATAGGAAATATTTTTCTGCTTTTGGTACATTTGATACATTTCTCAAAAGTATACTTATACTGCCAGGCATGATGGTGCATGCCTGTAATCCCAGCACTCAAGAGACAGAGGCAAGAGGATTGCCATGAGTTTGAGACCGGCCTGGACTACACAGTGAGCTTGAGGCCAGCCTGAACTACATAGTGAGATCCTGTCTCAAAACAAAAACAAAAACACAAAAACCCCTTATACTCTCTCCACTCTGTTTTTAAGAAAATCTGTTCTGAAAATATATTTACTTTCTATGTCTTTGTCAGCCTCAGTTTTCAAAAAATATTACTCAAACTGCTAAAAAGAGTAAATTCTACATTGATTGGCAGAACAGTCCTTATTTCTTAAATTGTCCTTGTGAGAATTTCATTCTTTCTGGGGAAAAAATGAATATTGTTTTTTTTTTGTTTGTTTGTTTTTTTGGTACCGGGGATCGGACGCGGGTCCTTGGGCTTGCGCAGCAGGCAGCGAAACCACTGAGCTAAATCCCCGGCCCGAATATTGTTCTTTTATCGTAAATGAAAAATACATCTTCGTCTTTATTCCTTCTTTTAATTTTTTTCAAATTAGCCAAACTCAGAGGGGCCCAATGAGTTTAAAAACTGTAAAGCTTTGTAATAATTAAAAAACCAAAAAACTATGCCCCCCATAAAGGCGATTCTTTCTTAAATCTTGACCTGTGAGGTACAATAGCTATATAATTTTAATTAGGGAAAATGAGTGGTAGAGGTTTGTTTCCAAAGCCTCACTTTTAGAAACTGGACCATATACCACGACATTGGGAGTCCACTAGGGGGTAGTTTTGTAATGTTTATTTCACTACACTGTGGCTCTGGAAAGCCTTTTAATTTGTATCCCCAGTTCATTCAAAATTCTAACAGAGATGGTCAGCTTCTAATGCTACATCTTTTGAAGTTCAGAAAGGCTTAAATAAAATACAATGGCGCAGTTGTGTTTCATTGAGTTAAGAGGGTTTGTGTTTTGTAGAGCATAGGCCTAGGAGAAGTCAGTACGTAGGTGGTAATTGGAGAATAAGGATAAAGTTGGAGAGAATAATATGACCAGTATAATATGTGCGGAGGTGGTGGTTGACATAGTTTTGCCCATTTATGGACTGTAGTGTCCCTAGAGACTTGAGGTGTAGGCAAGGCAGGAGTTAAAGAGGAGTTAAGAAATGAGGGAGAGGTACAAAAGAAAAAGCATTGGATGTTAGGATCAATTCTCTTGTGTTATTTATTTATGTATTTTTTGGTACCGGGGATTGAACTCGGGTCCTTGCGCTTGCGCAGCAGGCGGTGAAACCACTGAGCTAAATCTCTGGCCCTCTCTTGTGTTATTGAGGAAAGATAGAAGTACAGGGAAAAAAGTGATATTAGCAGGTAAAAATATAGAGAAACCAACTGTGACAATATTCCTTGTCATGATTTTTATAACTTTCTAACATTCATTCTCTAATAAGAGGTATTGAATTAAGTTTTTTTTTGGTACCAGGGATTGAACTCGGGTCCTTGCACTTGCGAGGCAGGCAGCGGAACCACTGAGCTATATCCCCGGCCCTGAATTATTTTTTTTCTGTATATTATTGTGTAACATAAGGCATAATTTACGATTTTTTTCAATAGCTTTTGTTATTTCAAGTGTATTGTAGCACCTTAAACTACATTCTTTACCATACCTCTTTACTTTTCCTTATTCTTATATCTCAGTATGTTGGTGAAGTGAGGCTTCCTGATTGTTGTTTGTGTGTGTAATCAGATCTTCTGTTTCTGGTTTTCTGTTTTTGGGGGATAATTTGTTTTCTAGTACCTTTGTTTTCCCTAGTTCTAAGTCTCTGAATTTTGTGTAGATAAGAGTAGTATAAATTTTGGAAGAGGATCTGATTAATTTCAGAACTGAAAAATAGAAATTTTTATCTTTGGAATGGATATTGGAAGATTCTTTACTTTTAGGAACCCTTTAATCTACTAGAAAAAGAAGGCTGTTTTAAGAGATTTGCACCAGAAAAGTTTCCATAACATCTTTTTTTATGTCCTATTTAGAGAATTCTTTCTGATATCTTACCTAAAGTCCATTTGCTATTACAAATCTTTAAATTTTTTACCATGAAAGGTGCATATTTACCATTAGCTTACTTGTACATGGTACACTGACTTACCAAATGTTGCCCATCATGTTGACAGTCTGCAACACTCAACAAAAACAGGAAGAAATACAGTGGGGAGAATACGTGAATTTGAGATTAGTGGTGGTTATTGAGTAGCTTTATGATTTCCATGCCTAACCATTATGGAGCCTTTGAAAATTATCACCATTTTCCTTATCATTTCTACTTCTACATGTATATTCTGTTTTCAGATTGAGAACAGCTGGCAACCATCCTCCCTGTAAAACTATTTTATTGTCACTTCTCATGCTATTTTAGAAGCTGCAAATAGTTCCTTTTATCTTTCTTCAGGTTTTATTTTTCACCCTCTTAATCATCTTTGAGTCTTTTCTGAATTCTTTCCAATTTTAATTTTTTCTCAGTGTTCCTTCTCAACCAACTGACAGAGTGTCCTGAGAGTATCTGAGCATTTCTGAGTATCATAGGAAGAAGATTTCACCCCTGTACAAGTGCCAGAGTCCACTTCATATAACCTTAGACTACGTTTGCTCTTTGAAAGTATAGTCACATGTTGTTGACTGGCTGTCAGATTTTTATCTCCAATGACCTTGATTTTTCCTCTTACATTTATTTATAGCTTGTACACTCATCATCTTTTATTTATGGAGGTTATTTTTCTTAGCTGGGTATATTGCTTTGCTCTGTCATTGAAATTCATTGCCTTTTATTTTTTGATTACTTCACCACTTAAGCCAGTGTCATTTCCATTCCTGTCTTCCAGTGTGGCAAACCCATAGGCTTCCTATTCTCTGGACTATTCAAGTTAGTAATGCAGATTTTTTTTTTTTTTAAGTAGGGGTCCGGGGATTTAGCTCAGTGGTTTCGCCACCTGCTGTGCAAGTGCAAGGACCCGAGTTCGATATCTGGTACCAAAGGAAAAAAAAAAGTGGAAAACTGTTTTAGAAGCAATGACAGAACACAATTTGCTAATGTTTCTCAAAATTTCCTCTGATGAGTGGCCAAGTTGAGTGATGAGAGCTGTGTGTGTTCCCTCCTTCTGTGCTTTTTATACTTCAGGGATCCATCTCCCTCACTGTCAGTTTGGGGCCTGCATCTCCACATGGATGTGCCAAGAAACAAAGAAAGCAATTCATCTTGCACACTACTGTCAGATTTAATCTGATCATGGCCTTCTACATATCTCTTCCTGTTCCCGACTTTCATCACTGTAGGGGACAGGGGAAGGGGATGTTACCAGAACCTCTGCAGTAAGTCCTAGTCTCCTGTGAGCCACGGCAGCACACCAGCACACGGCGAATTACAGGAAAGGCAGGCAAATGAGACTGAGAAGAAGCTGAGCTTTGGGTCTGATCAGTGCTGCTCTGGGCGGCAAAGACTAGAAGCCTTAGCTTGCAGCACCTTTTACTTAGTACATCCAGAGAAACAAATGTAACAAATGAATATGTAGATTTCAGTATCACTTTGGGATGAACAAGGTGTAACAAAAGACTGGGTGGGGGCAGTGGAAATCTAAGAACAATGAGGAACTATGCAGATGAAGATTTAGTTCCTGCCAGGAACTACACCGGTGAAGATTGGTTTCCTCCCAGAGTGTCTCCCGCAGGTGTGGTCTTGTCCTGGAGCATTACAGCATCTAGGGATCATTGAGATCTCCCTTGTGACCTGAGGCTAAAATGGAATTATGTCTTGTAGTGTTATAGCTGGCCTGTAGGCAGGAGAACTAGGCCTACTCAAATGATTTTTCCCTAGAATTATGTACCATTGCTCCCAACACATCACCTGCTGAATTAAATATAAACATTTTAGTCTGGTATTCAAGAGAAATTTTGACTTGAGTCTCCCTTTCTGGTCCAATTGCCTGATACTATATCATGTTTCATACAAAATTATTCTCTGGATATGTCTCACACTTTCTGAGGTCTTGGTTTATTTGCTTTGTTTGCTCTACTTAGGATATCCTGAAGCTTTTTCTTCTGATTGCTGTCAACATCATTTAGGATCAATTTATTTTATGTCCCATTTCTTTCTGGATTTCTCCATTTGAATATAACCTTTCCTTCTCACCCCCCAAATCTTTATATTGAGTGTTATATTTTGTCCTATGTTATAGCTGTTTGTGTGCTTTTTTCTTTCTTTTCTGGTAGACTATGGTTTTTGGGTTTTTTTTTTAAGAACTATCTTCCTCATCATGCTAACTTTGAGTATACCTAGCATATATTTGCATAAGTAATTGAATATATGTAAATTTATTCTTAGAGTATTTGTGGGGGGACATGCTAAACAGACAGATTAGATCAGTTTGAGCACATTATACAATATAGTGTATTCAGTTTAAATTCTAGCATTAGCTCCTTACCTAATTGCAGCCTGCTAACAAGGTTCGTAGACCAGGAGCTGATCTATACTTTCAGTAGTATTGTTATACCCTATGTTTTTCTCTCTTAGAAAAATTCTAGATGCAGTTAAAAGTTTATAATGATTACTGTTAGTTGTTGAACAAAAATTTCCATATTCAAGACCTGCTTGGTTGCTTAAATTTGTACTTCAGAACTCTTTGTAATTAACTTTTATTATTTTCTAGAAACTACCCAACTCTGGCGAATATTGAAAGGAAGAAAAAGTTAAAACTTGAAAAGGAAAAGAGAGGAGAAGTATTAACAACAACACAGTATGGGTAAGTTCCTCAAAATGGCTTGTATTCTTAATGTTCATTATGACTGAGTATATTTATAAACAATAAAGAAGTATAAAGCAAAATTTTAAAATCACTACAATCCTAATTCTGAAATCTTTGCTTTTTACCTTTTATTTGCTTTAAAAAAATTGTAATTATGTCTTAAAATAACTTACCTATATTGATATGATTTTAAAAGGTGTAAACAAGACCTTTCCATTTTTTTTCAAGCTAGGTTCCTTCCAGAGATAATCTGTTGTATCCTTCCAGAAAACCTTTGTCTGTACAGCACATAGATGATAGATGTAGCATTTTTTCTTTGTTTTTTTTTTTTTGGTACTGGGGATCGAACTTGAGACCTTGCTCTTGCAAGGCAGGTGGCGGAACCACTGAGCTAAATCCCTGGCCCCAGATGTAGTATTTTTTCTTTTTTGAACACTATTAACCTTTTTCAGACTTTGAAAATTTTACTTGGAGATTGTTCCATATTAAAATATAACAAACCTCATCCCTTAAAGATATGTAGGAAGCTTAAGGATGTCCCACAATGTTTTTTTTATTTTTACCAATTTCCTATTGACAGACATTTATGTTCTTACAAATCTTTTACTAATAAAAAGTTGCCACTATTGCCTTTGTACAGAAGAATATTTTACATAGGCATTTCTATGGATAGATTCCTAAAAATGGTTTTGCTGAGTTAAACAGTATGTGAATTTGTAATATTGCTAGATACTGCCAAATATCTGTCATAGAAACTGAACCAGTTTGCTTTCCTACCAGCAATATATGAGATACTCTTTCACTTTCATTGAATTTTCTCATTTAATTTACATTTGATCTTATAATTAATTAAATATGCTAATCTTAAATGTACAACTTGATGAAGTTTTACATATGTATGTACATATTTGTGAACACTCTTACACATTTGTGTGACTTCCACACAGATTAATATACAGAATATCTATCTCACAAAACTCTCTTAAATTAAACCTTCCCCTGTTCAATGGCTTCCTATGAAGTTAACCTCTTTTCTGATTTCTGTCATCAAAGATTTCTTTTGTCTGTACTTGGAACTTTCTATAAATGACATAATATGGTATGTATTCTTGGGTGTGCGATTTCTGTAGCTCAAAATTATTTTGTGAGATTTATTCATACTATATTTAGAAAGAGACATGAGAGATAAGTAGGGATATTTTATAATGTTAAAAGGGTCCGCGCACAAGAAAGCATAACAATTTTATATCCATTTATGTCTAATGTACTTTAAAAAACAAAATTATTGATGCCTCAAAGGAGAACTAGGTAAATTGAATTAAAGATTTTAATACATTTCTTTCTATAACTATTATAAAATAATATGTAATATTAGAGAAAGTTTTTAAAGAGGAAATTGGAACACAAAAATCCTAGACTACAATATTACTAAACCTAATAAATAAAGGATACACATTTTACCAAAAAGATCATTAAATAAATAACAAATTTTAAAAGACTGAAATAATACAAAAGAATTCATTCTGACAAAATGGAAAGTCAACCAGAAATCAGTAACAAAAAGAAATGCCTTAATAGGAACACATTTAAAATATAAATTACTAAAATTGACTCAAGAAATTAAAAATTAAAATTTCTCTAATCATTGCCTCTTAGGAAAACTGATGCTATAATTAAGGACTGTCCTATAAAAAAAAAATTCAACTCTCAGTGGGTTCACTATTAAATTCTTCCAACATTTACAGAATAAATACTAGTCCTATAAAAACTCAGCAGTGGCCAGGCATGGTGGTGAATGCCTGTAAACCCACCACTTGGGAGGCAGAGGCAGGTGCATCACTGCAAGTTCAAGGCCACCCTGGGCTGCACAGTGAGTTCAAGACCAGCTTGAACTACATTGCAAGATGACCCTGTCTTAAAAAACAAAACAAAAGAAAACAAAACAACTTAGCAGCTCATTTTAAGAGTTCAGTATATGTAATCTTTTTTTTGTTGTTTTTTTTTTGGTCCAGGGACTGAACTTGGGTCCTTGCGCTTGCGCAGCAGGTGGCTAAACCAAAATCCCCGGCCCCAGTATATGTAATCTTGATACCAAAACCTCATGAGGACATTATAATAATGGAAAACTGATAAAATTCATCATGTATTCCTAAAAAACTCCTAGCAAATGAGGAATAGAAAATGATTTCTTTAATAAACGGTATCTATCAATACTGTAGACCCAAATCATTCTTTTTTTTTCTTTTTTTTGTTTTTTTGGTACCGGGGATTGAACTCAGGACCTTGTGCTTGCAAGGCAGGCGGCAGAACCACTGAGCTAAAATCCCAGGCCCCCAAATCATTTTTTTGTGTGTGTGTGGTACCGGGGATTGAACTCCAGACCTTGCGCTTGCGAGGCAGGTGGAGGAACCACTGAGCTAAATCCCTGGTCTCCAAATCATTCTTTTTTTCTTTTTTTCCCAAATCATTCTCAATGATGAAATATTGATGACTTTGCCTCTGACACTGGGAATTAGATATGGATGTACACTATTAATGCAATCATAAATTAAGCCAGATATGTGTAACATCAGTATTTTAAAAATCAATTATATTTTCATGAACTAGCAACATATAACTATAGAGTGAAATTAAAAATAAAATACCATTTACAATGTTATTCAAAAATACCAAATACCGAGGAATAAATCTAACAAAAGATTTGTAAGAGCTCTGCACTAAAAACTTTGAAACACTGCTCAGAAAAATTAAAGGCCTAAGTAAATGAAGAGATAATGTAATACTCATGGGCTAAAAACAGTATAATTAGGTTAATTCTCCCCAAGAGTGATCATAGTCAAAATCATAGCAAGTTTTTTAATTTTTGTTTTTAACAGAGTTTGGGGAGACTGATATCCTTAAAAATGATATGAAAATACAAAGGATTTAGAATAGCCAAGAAAGAGTAATGAAGATTGGTATTGGCCAAGGATAGATGAATAAATAGAACAGAATAAAGTCCACAAGCAAGCAAAACCATTGATAAATCACTTTATTTATGATAAAGGAAGCAATATAATTCACTGGAGAAAGGATAGTGTTTTTGGCATTCAGTTCTTATTTTAAATGTTTTGTGTATATATTTGAAGTATGTATCTCTTATATAATATATAGTTCAGTCTTTAAAATACAAAATCCAGACTCAAAAATCTTTCTCTTTACCTAGTGCTCCTTTTATATTTAATGTAATTATTAATTTACTTGGATTTTCGTGTACCAATTTCCTATTTTTTAAAATTTGTTTTATTCTTTGTTCCTTTTTTTTTTTTTTGGAACCGGGAATCGAACTCAGGACCTTGTGCTTGTGAGGCAGGCGGCAAAGCCACTGAGCTATATCCCCAGCCCTTTTGTTCCTTTCTTGATTTTAGGTGATACATTTTTTTAAAAACTGTTTTCCTCTCCATTAACTTTTTACTTATAATTATTCCTTATTCTCTCCGTTTAACATACATCTGTATTTTTACTTATACCTTTTGTAACAACTTTAAAGTGTTAAGTAAATTTTTCCTTTCAAATGATTGTCAAGCAGTGATATAACAACTAGTCCCTCAAAGGAGGAATGGAGTGCAAATACCAGATATACTACTTTCTCAAAGAAGCCTTATTTTCTCACAGTTAAGTGTCATCCTTACTCAGTACTTACCAGTGAATACTTTAAAGATGACTTTTCAAAAGCCAGCTTCAGTGCAGGGGATTTAGTTCAGTGCTTCTGCCGCCTGCTTCGCAAGCACAAGGATCCGAGTTCCATCCCCGGTACTAAAAAAAAAAAGCCCAGCTAGGGTCAAATGCTGTTGGAATAGGATGCAGGGAAGATGTGTGTGAGTGCATGGAGCCAGTGGGCCAAGAGGCAAAAACTACCTGATTTGCCTGTGGTGATGCTGTTGAGTTCTTAGCTTGACATCTATGGATGGATATTGGAGATTGGTTCGTGATAATTTTAGGTTTTTGGCTAAATTGGGAATAGAAATATATATATTTTTGGATTGAGATTTTATAAGGATTCTAAAGGACTATGAGCCTTTGGGTTACAGATACAAGTTGAGTATTTCAGTTTAGCAAATTATTTGGAAAAATACTATTTTAATACTATGTCTACATATGAAGGAGTAAACAGTGCCAGGGCTATTAATATTGTCTAAGGAACACAGCTAGTAAATGTTACAATAGAAATTTGGGCCCAGATTTTTAATTCTGTACTCCTAACCATGGCCTTCATTATTTTTTCTTCCCCATTAAGTTTATTGGTACATTTTAGGTATAAAATACAGTTACATTCATCATTGGGATCTTGTACCATTCATTACATGAGTATCTTGGTTCTTATTTTTTCCTCTTCCCCTGCCCTCCCTTCAACCTTTCCACCCTTCCCTGTTTGCAAAGACTTTGTTTCCATTTTATTCTTTTTCTCATGTTTTTTCCCTTCTTTCCCTTCCCCTACCCCTCCCACTTCCCGTGCTCCTTTAGCCCTTTTCTTCCTATTACACAATATCAATTATACGTTTTTAAAATTACAATAT